TTGGCTGAATGCGGTCCTCACATGGGCGCTTTATACCCGTCGTGGTTGAAGTCAGTTCTACCCAGGGCCAAGGCAGAGATGGGAAGGCCCTGTGTCTGAGAAGATGTTGTATGCAGGAGAAAAGGGGCTGTGGTGGAGGGGTGGCAGTGCCCTGCTCATACAAGGAGCAGCTTGAAGCCATTAGGGGCGCGTGGGAGGGGGGATCCAGTCCTATCTTTGCCAGGCTTCCTGGGAAGTGAGTGTGAAATGCTAGGGTGCTGTCCAGACCCCGGCAGAGCTGGACAGAGATGCTTGCCTGGGAGGCAGCCAGGGCCCCTGAAAATCATCTGGTAGGGTCAGTGACAGGAAGGACACACGACCTTCGAGGCTGTGAAGGAAGGCTGGTGGTGGATTAGATGTGCCGGATACAAGGGAGGAAGAAGTCTAAATGATTCCCAGATTTCAGTTCATAGCTCCTGCCTCCTCCCCCGCTGGCCTCATTTTAATCTAGAACAGAGTCCCCCTTGGACCTGACAGCCATGCCCAATATGTTCTTCACTGCGCTTTCCAATATGGCAGCAATACCGCCATGCACGCAATTGCCCAGAGCTTGGGACGTGACTGGCCTGCTTAGGGAGCAGAACTTTGAATTTCATTTTATTATTATTCTATGGATAGGATCCAGTACCTTGTCCATGTTAGTCAAGCGTCCCACAACTGACCTAAGCCCCCAACCCCTTCGAGATAGTCTCATTAAGTAGCCCAGACTAGTTTCAGACTTGAGATCTTCGGGCAGGTGCGACAGTCCAGTTGGCAAAGTGTTTGCATTAAAAGCACACAAACAAGAGTTTGATGCTCAGAATCTGTGTAAAAAAAAATGCCAGTGCGGTGGCCTGCAGGAGTAATCCGGTGATGGGGAGGCAGAGACCGTCCTGAGCTCTTTCTGCCTCTTCCTGGTGCATCCTGGGATGACAGGTATGTACCCCATGCTTAGTGTTTAACTGGAGTTTTATTTTAATTGATTTTGATACCACAATGGCCGTTGTTCTGAGAGCAAGGTTCTAGAATGTTTCCTGCTCATCCCTTGTCATCCAGTCTTGAGCGTTTGTTTGTTTCTCTCCCTGGACTGTTAGACAGTTGAGATCGGGAATACACTTAATTTATGGCTGAATCACCTCCTCCGCCCTTGCCCCAACTCTTGCACAATGACATGCCGTAAGCCATGCCTGTGTTAAATTGCCAGCTGAGAGGGCGGCTCTGACTCCTTCCCAGGCTCCTGGCCTTGGAGGAGATTACAGGCTTCTCGCCTCTCTGAACTGCGCCGACTGCTTACCCGATGAGGATTAAGGAAGAAAACAGTGTTTACAAAATGCTTTTGTCAATGGGACTGAGCTGAGGTGGGGAGGTGTGTGTGTGTGTATGTGGAGGATACTAGGGCCAAACTCACACAGGCAGCTTCACACTCCAGGAGGCCACCATCCACACACACAGGCACGGAGGGGCCAGAAACAATAGGACATGAGGAAACCGAGCTTGTAGATGAACACTGGTTTCTGTAAAGGACCTACCACATGAGGTCTGGGAAGGAATAAAACTTCCCAGCAAGGATTTTTTTCCCATGCCCTCACATGCCCCTCCCCCCCCGCCCTCCTGGAAGTAGCTGTACTTCTTCTGCAAAGGGAGATTCCCCTTGCTGGGGTGAAGGTTGGGTGGACTGAGGAAGGGTGCTGGGCTCTGCTCTGCAGATTCTGTGGGACTTGGAGGGAGAAATCAGATAACGGGGTTTCCTGAGGAACTCAAGGACGGGAGAGGCTGCGAAAGACCTGGAGGGTCATGCTGGGGTTTCCTTGAGGGACTCTTACTTCAACACAACCTAGAGACAGGCTGTATGAGTCTCGGTTGGGGGCATCACGCCCATGGTCAGGGTGTCCTGGCCTTCTGTGAGCCTACCTCTCAGTGTGGAGCGCATCCTGTAATGGCCTCACTGCAGGGAAGCATCACCCTTTGTGGGAAGATGGCTCTGTGCTGCCAACGGAGACTGGATCTGTGGGCAAATTTGGTTAGGTGCTGGGCAATATTGTTTTTGCTCAAAAGTGAATAAAATGATCCTAATCTGACCAGGCCGACTTTGCTGTAGGATTTGGCTAAATGATTGTTAAGAGGGTGTTGAGGAGGAGAATGTTTCAGCCTTGGGTTGATTTGAACTTGCAAAGGAGGTTCAGTGTGCGTGCGTGCACGTATGTATGTGTGTGCATGCGCACACGTGTGTGTATGTGTGTACATGTGTGCATGCGTGTACATGCGTGTGTGTGTGTGTGTGTGTGTGCGTGCATGTTGGGGGACCACTCTGCCCACCTCACTACCATCAGTAGGAGCCTCTGAATACCATGAGGGCTGTTACCTGACACTCCCTCCACCCATGTCTCATTTCTAACCCAGCTCTGCGCACCTCTTTTCTGACAAATATGTTTAAAATTCCCTTTCTTGACTGAAAGGAGACACACCAGCATTGCATGGGGCCACAGCACTGGTTCCTGGGTGGGAGTAATTTTGCCCTGAGGGGACAGACAGAGGGCAGTGTCTGGAGTACTTGGTTGTTACAACCTGACAAGGGTGCTAACAGCATGTTGGGGTAGATGCTGGGATCCCACAAAGCACCCTTAAATATACAGGACAGGGTCCAATATAAGGGGGACTGTCCAGCTTCAAATGTCAGCAAGAACCCTTGGGTTAGGACAGCCAAAGGTAGCTTTATGTCTGCTTCCATTCATATTCATATGTCTCCAAACATACATGGATTTTGTTACATATATATGTATATATATGTATGTGTTTATATATGTGATTTTGTTACACACACACACACACACACACATATATATATATATTTAGATTTATAGAAAATCAAATTTAAACGTAGTGTGGTGGTACATAACTACACTGCCAGCACTTAGGAACCCAAGACAGGAGAATTGAGAACTTGAAGCCAACCCCGGCTACACAGTGAGGAAAAAAAGAAAGAAAGAAAAAACCAACAAAAACCCAAACAGACCCAAGCTTAAAGAAAGAAAAACTTCCTCTTGCCAGATGCAAGCTTGACACTTCCAGGGGCGGGGAACATAATTAGGAAGATACCAGGGGGAAACAGGAAATACAGAAATAGAGAAATAAACAGATCAAGAGAACTTAGCTCGATAAATATTTGTTGAGTACTAGCGGAGTCCAGGATGCTGCAGGACACTTGGCTGGGCCAGGGACATCCATGTGTGACAGAGAGTCGCAGGGCCAAGCAAAAGTCTCCATGGCTGGAGACAGCCTATCTAGAAAACTACGGAACAGGGAGGTTTTCCCAGGTCAGGGCTGGGGAGGCATGAACAAGAGGCAGCATTTAGTATGAAGTGGGCCTTCCCTTCACAGGGCCAGCTGGGCTGGTGTCACCTGAATTTAGCTTGTCTGTGCTCCAGGGTAGCCAGGCGCCTAGGGGTAGGCCCTAGGCCAGCAGTTCTGTCCCTCTGTCTTCTTCCTGTGTGTCCTGGATGTGTGCACACAGGTGCTGTGAATGTCCAGGTATGTGGAGGAACAGGTCTCTGTGTGTGTGTGTGAACATGTATGGAGGCTAAAGGACACACTCAGCTGTTCTTCCTCAGATACTATTTCCACCCCCCCTTTCTTGAAGACAGGGTTTCTTTGTGTGACCCTGGCTGTCCTAAAACTCACTCTGTAGACCAGGCTGGCCTCAAACTCACAGAGATCCACCTGCCTCTGCCTCCTGAGTGCTGGGATTAAAGACGTGCGCGCCTTTTGAGACAGGGTCTCCCGTTGGCTTGGGACTCATCAAGTAGGTGAGGCTGGCCGGCCGGTGAGCTCTAGGCATCTGCCTGTCGCTGACTTGATGATCTGGGGCTGTAAGTACCGGCTACGATACTTTTATTTTGTATGTGGATTCTAGGGATGGGACTCAGTTCCTTGCGTTGCGGACCGAAAGATTATCCCAGCCCCCTCTCCTCATTATGCACGGCACACTAATGAATGAATATCGTCTCCTGGAAAGACTAGCCACGGGATCCCACGAGGCCTGGGTGGGATAGAAGTGACTGATGAGGACATGTTCTCAGATCTACCCTTACCTCATGGGCCCGAAGAATTAATTGCAAGGATGCAAGACTCTCGCCCGGGTGCCTGGTGACACTGCCGGGCCCCTTCACTGCTTATCAGTCCAAGCAGGACAAAGGTGCTCCAGGCAAAGGTGCCAGGGTTGCTGAGAGGTGCCAGAGCTGGCAGGGTTGACTAGAAGGTGGCATGCAAAGTGCTATCTGTTGACACACCCTTGCCAGTACCAGGATATTCTGAAAACACAGAGACCCTGAGGCCTTGCCCTGATCAGCTCAACCAGAAGCTGCAGTTTAAAAGGAGTCCTAGATTTGAGAAACCAAGGGCTGGACCACATTCTGTGGTGTCCCCAGGCCATGCCCTGAGATGACAGGAAGATGGAATAAAGAATTTAAACATCTACTCAGTGCACACACCCCCTCACTTCCTTTAGCCAGTGGTGGGATTGAGGAACGGCTTGACCGATGGTCCTCCCCAAGCCTTTGCTTGGCAGGTGGGGGGACTGTAAGACAGGAGAGAGTTGGCTGGGTGATGGTCTCTGTATCACTTGCAAATGAACACTCGCCCTGCGCCCCCTGCTGGCAAAAAACAGCGCCAGCCAGTTTTTGCCCAAAAACCCCTCTGGGGAGGGACTAACAGTGGCCCTGGACTAACTTGGGATTGTTCTGCTTATTGTCAGGGGCTGCAGGTGATGAGTCACCTTCCTGAGAGACTGGTGCAGGTGAAACTGTGCTTAGAGAGTCTGCAGTTCCTGTGGAGCAGTGTGTGTGTGTGTGTGTGTGTGTGTGTGTGTGTGTGTGTGTGTATGCGTGTGCATGTGTATGCGCTCCGTGCACAGGCAAACAGTTCTCACTGTCGGTTGTTTCTCTGTAGAGTTCCTTCCTAACCGACACCCTCTCCTTGTATTTTAGCAGAAAGATGGGCTCCTATGGACGGGGATTCACGCTGGGATGCTGCTTGCTGCTGGCCGTTGCCTGGGGCCCAGCCCTGAGTCTTGTGCCCCGTGGTCAGCAGGAACAGCTGGAGTGGGAAGAGAAAGAGGAGCTGCCACCTCCTCTGGACCATGAGAAGAGGTGAGGGGCTGTGACACCACGCTAGCAGAGGTTCTTGAGCTGACCAGGTCAAGCGTGTGAGGTTTGGGGGCACCAGGGCTGGTTGCCTAGAGCTGCCAAGGGGCAAAGCGGAAGCTGAGCCTTGGTCTTTAGGGAGGTTGGTCCTGGAGGTCAGAGAGGCAGTGAAAGAGTTAGCCAATAAGAAGCTGGAGCTAATGGGCCAAGTAGTGATTTAATTAATACAGTTTCTGTGTAATTATTTTGGGGCTGAGCAGCCGAGAACCAACAAGTGGCTTTCTCCAACAGTTTCTCCTTCTGGTGACTTGGGCATCTTGTCTGACTCTGAGGATGGTGGTACGGCTTCACTCTAACCCCAGGGTAGCCAAGTCTGCACGAACTTTACACCTCTATAATGAAAAGGCACCTGATCCGCCCTTCCAGTTGCCTTTGCCTTCTAGCTCAGTCTCCGGGGAAAATGTAGCAGGGCTCTGGGTACACGGGCAAGCAGGAGGCAGGGACAAGTGACCTCAACGACTTATTCCCTTATAAGGTGGCAATATCATCTAGGGGTCTTAATCAGGATTGTTTTCTCTGCTAGTTAAAGACTTAAAACAACAGACAAAGCCCAGGAAAAATCTCAAGCACAACAGGTGGCGGCAGAGAAATCTCAGACCCCGCAGACAGCAGCAGCAGCAGTTGAAGGATGGCATTTACTGGGGGCGAGGAGACACACACAGGAAGCAGGCACACACACACAGAGGTGCAAAACACCTTTGTTTTGCAGAGGGAGATCTCGGAAAGCCGAAACATCCTGTCTCTTCTCCGGGGCTGGGGTTTAAAAGTCTCTCGGGAGTTTTCCTCCTCAGTTCAGGGTTGGTCAGTTTGAAGAAAGGATGGTTGATTGGCCCACTGCTGTTGTGACCACGTCCTGAGCTGGCCTTGAATCTGTTGATCCAGTCCGTCAGCAGGGGACCTGCTGGTGGGGGACCAAAGCCTACAATGATTTTTCTGAAGCTGTCAGGCTTTGGTCTCAGGTCAAGAGGATGAGGAAGAAGCCAGCCATGGAAATTCTCCACCTTTAGTACTTAGCCATGGCCTCTCTCCCTGTCTGCTACCCACCAGAGATTCTCTCTGCCTCCCAGGTCAGAATGTGCTGGTGAGGGTGAACCAGGCAGGCCAGGTGTCAGCTTTCTCCCAAAGGTTATAAAGGACGTCAGGGCATCACTTGCCTTCATGTCTGTGACCCTCAGTGATATACAGACCCAAGGCTACGGGAGATACTTTGTAGGGACATCAAATATGATATTCTAGAGGTCTGTGTTGTGATACAGCCAGAGTTGGGACCTTAGCGGCCGGTGAGAGAATACGCCATGCAGACAGAGCTTGAGTGTGGAGTTTGTTGAGCTACAGGGGATGGGAAGAGACAAGAGAATGGGAGAGGGGGGGGGCAAAGACCTGCCTGCCTCTTCAGAAGAGAGAACTTGAATAGGCAGAGCTTCTCTTCTTAAAGGGACAGGCTACTGTCTGCCATGCACACAAGCGTGATTCAGGGCACCCTGTCAGGTTCCCAGGGGGCAGGGCCAAGCTGTGCCTGGATACTAACAGTCTGCACAAGGCTCCATGCTGGTTTTGGATTTCTTCATTACCCTGAACATTGGGTCAATTTAATATTCAAGGTTCCAGGCAGGTTTTGGGGCCGAGAAACCCCATTCCTTTGTTTCTTCTTCCTCTCGCTTGTTTTCATTCAGCCAACACTGATTAATTAGCAGCAGTCAGCTGTCAATCACACCATCTCCTAAGTCCTGGAGACGCACTTGGAGGGCAGAGTCTGGCTTCTAGAAACCCCAAGGCCACAGGGAGACAGACAAACACGCCACAATCCAGGCTCTGGAGCAGAGCTGCACCCGCAGAGCTGGTACCAGAGCCCTCCTGTGTGCGGGAAGAAAAGGCAGAGGGGGTGGGTAGTGCAGGAGGGGAGGGTGGTTTGGGGTGGTGGGAGCTGGAGTCTGGGAAGGGAGGATGTGAAGTGTGAAGCTGAGGTGGCTGAGCGGAGTGTGTGCCAGGGAGACTCTCACCCAGGCTCCTCCTGGAGGGACCAGGGAGTCTGCAGAAGAGGTTTGTTTCAGAGAGTGTTCTAGAAGGAACACTAGAAGCATCAGAGAGTGCCTTACTACTGGGAAGACAATTCCAGGACTGCTGTCCAGTCCACATGGTGCCTTAGACATGATCAGGGCCTGGGGATGTCTGGGGGTGCCTGGGGTAGAAGTTGACTCCCCAGGACGTGCTGGGTTTGAATGGAAGTTCGGGGATGCAGAAAGCTCCATTATGGGCCACTAGAATATGTTAGAAAAAGCATTTGGAAACAGCAGGTGTCACAGGCAAAGCGTCATTATGAGGTCTACTTTAATTCTGGACATGTGATGTCGTCTGTGGGGCCTGCTGAACTGGGTGGAATGGAGGCTTCCCGCAAGAGTTCTGAAGCTTAGAAGAGATGTGTGGGTGAATCTTTCTCCAGGAACTGGGTTTTCATGTGTCTGAACTCAGGATGTGTCTGGATGCATGCCTCAGAAGGTCCGGGGAGGAAGCGTGTATCAGGGTAGGAGAGGGAGGGGTCAGCTGACTTAGACACCTCTCAGGTGCAATGTCTCACATGGCCATGAGATGGCAGCGTACAGCCATTGCTCTCCACCGGCCGCTGTTGCCCAGGGGCACCAGAAGATGAAGTGAAATTGTTTACAAATGAAGTTGCTGGTAGGTTGTGCTCTAGCTTCACAGCCCATCACAGCCCAGCTCGTGACCATGGAAAGACCTGGTCCTGCAGGCAAGATCTCTCCACCGAAGCCCTGAGGTCATTGTCCTTTGCTTTGTCTTTGCTTTGGATATATTGCTACGATAATGGTGTGTGTATGTGCGTGTGCGTGTGTGCATGTATGTGCGTGTGCATGTATGTGCGTGTGCATGTATGTGCGTGTGCATGTGTTTTGTGTGTGTGTTTGTGCATGTGTGCATGTGTGCGCATGCGCATGTGTGTGTGTGTGTGTCTGCACATGTGTGTGTGCATGTGTGTGTGCTATCTGCAGTTAGGATCTCAGGATTCTCTCCCATGCCTATGCTAATTAGAGCATTGTATATCCAGGGGAAGGTGAGCCAAAGGGAGCCAAGCCCTGGTCCACAGCAACAGAAGAGAGCTCCTAACTCAAAGAGTTTATCATTTTGTGGGGTTTGTTCCCTCAGGGAAGAAGAAACACATGAGAAGCATACCCCCAGCCAGGGCAAAGACCTCCCCACGTCCAGGTGCTACCGATGCTGTGACCCCGGCATGCCTGTCTACCAGACAATCCCACCACCCCAAATCAACATCACCATCCTGAAAGGTGAGAAGGCAGCAGAGATGACTGGGGACACTTCTTGGGGGGCTGCTTTATATCCACGGAGAGAGAGGTCCTGCTGAGTGGGGCTGGGCAGGACCAGGGGTCTCAGATAGAGTGGAGGTGGGCTGTCATCTAGAGGGCTGTCGTCTGACCGTTTTCAATGAGCAGAAGAGGACCTCAGAGGATGACTCAGAGATGACTCAGTGGGTAAGAGCACTTTTTGAGAAAGCAAGAAGACCTGAGTTCAAATCCCTAGCACTCACCTAAAAGCCAGGCATAGCTACATGTGCCTGTAACCAGCATGGGCAGGGGCAGAGCTAGACAGAGTCAGGCAGATTCTAGAATCCAGGCTTTCTGAAGCAGTGGGATTTAACGAGGAACCTGATATCAAAAACTAAAGTGGACTGGGGTAAGGTGGACGGCTCAGTGGTTAAGAGCACTGATCGCTTTTTCAGAGGACCCAGGTTCAATTCCCAGCGCCCTCATGGCAGCTTACAACTGCCTGCAACTCCAGTTCCAGGGAATCCAACGTCCGTGGAGAAACACCAATGCACATCAAATAAAAAATAAAAATTAATTAAGGGGAAAAAAGGTGAGATGGAAAGAGAACAGAGAACACCCAACATCTTCTGAACTCTCCATGTCCTATAGGGTGTGTACATATACACATACATGTCACACGTGTACACAACACCACACATGCACATACATAAGGAGGGGCCGGGGGATTCCGCCTCCACGCTGAGTGCATGGGGCTTGCCGACCTCGAAGCTCTTTGTTCTGACACAGTGCCCAAGTCCGTGCTCTGTGACGCTGTGCGCTCCCTCTAGATAACGTCACACAACCCCAGGGGACGCTTGCAGCCTGGACCCTGCTCTGACTTCGGACATCTGCAGTCCATTTCCTCAGAGTGAGCCTGGGCCTGGCAGCAGAGCCTGTTGCTGGTGGACAAACCCATATGTTCCTTTATCTTTGCCAGGACTTTACAGAAAGAAAATGAAAAGGCTTGCCTCCTGGATGAAAATAGAGCAACCCTGACAGTGGAAACGTTAGCTCTAATGATAGGAGAACCAAAATGTAGCCTCCTGCTGAGGGGCATCAGGCAGGATACCCAGGTCAGGGCTGGGATGTGGAGTCAGATGACTGACCTCTTTTGGGGCTTCATCTCTTCTTGTTCTCCCTTAGGTGAGAAAGGTGACCGAGGGGATCGAGGCCTCCAGGGGAAATATGGTAAAACAGGCTCTACGGGTGCCAGGGGCCATATTGGCCCCAAAGGGCAGAAGGGGTCCATGGGGGCTCCTGGAGACCGCTGCAAGAGCCATTACGCAGCCTTCTCCGTGGGCCGGAAGAAGCCCCTGCACAGTAACGACTACTTCCAGCCCGTGGTCTTTGACACGCAGTTTGTGAACCTCTATGAACACTTCAATATGTTCACGGGCAAGTTCTACTGCTACGTGCCAGGCATCTACTTCTTCAGCCTTAACGTGCACACTTGGAACCAGAAGGAGACATACCTGCACATCATGAAGAACGAGGAGGAGGTGGTGATCCTGTATGCGCAGGTGAGCGACCGGAGCATCATGCAAAGCCAGAGCCTGATGCTGGATCTGCGGGAGCAGGATGAGGTGTGGGTGCGGCTCTTCAAGGGTGAGCGTGAGAACGCCATCTTCAGCGATGAGTTCGACACCTACATCACCTTCAGTGGCTACCTGGTCAAGCCGGCCTTCGAGCCCTAGCCGCCACCCTCTGCCACGGGACTGTCCCAGACTGATGACCTCCTCGCCTGTCACCCCTGCCCATCCCTGCATTCCGTGGACACTGGAGTCCTGCCCCAGGCTGACCCCATCGCTTCTCCTCTCAGTCCTGGCCTCTTTGGCCTCGGTTTTCTCAGTTTTGTTTTTTTTGACAAGATGCCCATGGCCGCTGGGAAGCCCAAAGGGCCGTGTGATCCCAGGTCTGGCTGCTGCTCTCCGTAGAGAGCTGCCGGCAGATGAAATCATTGGGCGGGGTGCCTGTGAGGACGTTGGGGGACCTCCAGCTCCTTCTGTGTACAAAGCCTTAGACGACCCTGTGGTGTGCTGCCTTGTGGCCACAGGGTGTTCCAGAGCACAGCCCCTGTGTGTTCCCATCCCTGGACGTAATTAAGCAAATGCCACGGGTTTCAAAGCAACAAAGTAAAACAGAGAAGAGACAGGAAAACGGTGTTAGTTTTGGCCTTTCAGCCAGCTGGCAGAGAGAGAGAGAGAGAGAGAGAGAGAGAGAGAGAGAGAGAGAGAGAG